CTCTCTCTCTCTCTCTCTCTCTCTCTGTATCGGTCTGTGTGTTTCTTTGTGCCTCTCTTAATAATGCACACAAACACACACCTACGCACACATTGAATCAGTAACCAATTCATTTTTTCCTCCAATCCTTCATCTGTTCCGTCTGTCAATTACCAGCTCAAACAAACAAAAAAGTGGGATTTTATATTTTTTCTTTGGGGGGTGGAGGTTCATTTTGAAAAAAAAAAAGTTTCATTCTTTCTCTCATTCATTTACTCATCCATTCATCATTCTTTTTTTCTTTCACTTACTCAACCATTCTTCCGCCCCCAGGTGTGCGCTGTCTTCACCTCATCTCCACGCCGTTCCCCAACGTGTGGCACACGCCCTACGACACAGGGCGCTACCTGGACGTGGCGCTCATCGAGGACTTTAGCCGCATCTTGCGGGTGTTCCTCACCTCCCTGTTGCTCGGACTCTGACGTCACAGCACCGTATAGGGGAGCTGGGCGAAGAATCCATTCTGGAAGATTCACGGAGTTAGTGCCAAAGATCGTACATAACATTAACATGATAGCTCACTCAGCCAAAAAAGTGTCCGCGGAAGTCGGCGCATTGGTTCAGATGGCGCTGCAGTCTTTGTTTTTGAAGCCCTATTTCGTTTCCCCAAAAGAAGAATAGGGACAGCACTCTTACTTATATTATTTTTTTAACACAAGTTGGGTAGATCTAACTCTGATCGCAAAGTCCGCACTTTTTCGAAAAGGGGGCCACCGAATTTAGAGGACACTTTTGTAATTGACTCAAAGAGAGGAGTGAACTATCCTGTTATGTATGATCTTTGAGCTGGGAGAAGAATCAATTGTGGAAGATTCACGGGATTAGTGCTACGGAAGAAGACTTCCGAATCCTTTTTACATAAACCAACGATTGTCAGTTAGTTTAATCATTAAAACCTTCTTCTTTTTTTTAGAATTTATTTTTGAAAAATAGAAGTTGATGTTTCGTAGTGTTCTGAAATCAAAGTTATCCGAAATCCTGAAGATGTTCAGAGCCAACCAGGTAACCATCAGCAGAAATCATATCATAAGAAAGTACACAACTGAATTCGGACTCGATGCCTACGATTCCAAGCTTTCAATAATCCGGAACCTAACCGCCCACCACTGCCGTGCAGTGCCCGTGAAACCGAACCACAGAATTGGGGAAAAAATAGACGTGCGTTCTTGTGACGCAGTTTCCACCTCAGTCTCATGATAATAGTATTACATGTATTACGACGCTCCTTTTTGAGTTTGGTTCAACGGAGAATGGTCAAGAGAACGACCCAAGTATGATAATAATTTTAGTAGGATGCTCCGTTTTTGAGTTTGGTTCTACAGAGAGTGGTCAAGAGAGCGATCGTAGTTCACTTATGGAGGCAAAATGAAAGCTTACGAGTTTGCCTGACGACTAGGCTAAAAGTTCATTTCCATCACTTACATTTACAAATTACACAGTAATGGCTTTCTATCTGAAACATTAAACGCCTCCTGTTTTCATACTAGAGAAATAGAAACAGCTTTAAGTACATTCGTCGTGTAAACATACAGAACATGTTCAATATATTGGTGTGGACAATGTGTCATATTCCTTTTAAAAAACTATTCCTATTTCTTTCTATACATGTATTGAGAAACGTTATCATGGTGAGACTTTGAAAATAATATACAGAACTCATTCACTTACGAGAACAAAAATGACGTAACACCGCTCAAATGTTGCCAGACTTCAGGGCCTCAGTTGGAACACCATATTAAAGTAACAGAGATACAAGTCTTTGAAGACTAGATGTGACGACTCAAACACCGAAAATGATAACAGCTCATGTTTATACATCATGTAATACAACTGCAAGTGCAAGTGTAGTTGATGACTACTTTGGTCTAACCTTTAAAGATAAGTGTTCGCTGCTCTAACATACTTCGTCTGTTTCCCCTTATCGTTGACCAAAAACCAGACTGAGACGTGCTGAAAATGATCCTGTTCCAAAATTGTGTTTACATGCCATGTAGAAAATGCCGATTTGTTTCTGTCGAGTTAACATAACATTATAGTATAGCGTCCATGTAACATTATAGCGTCATCTTTTAACTATTGTGAGACAACTAACGTCCTGACCATCAAACCCGAGGAATCCAGTTTTGATCAGATTTCTTTCAATATTAATATGTTTCACTTTTGTTCATATGTATTACTATGAGCGCTGCCTGTACTTGTGGTGTTGGGGTCAGGCACTTCACAATTGTGTGCAAAAGACGTGAGTTCGATCCCAATAGTGGAGAAGTTATGTAATCCAACGAGTACCTCAGCCTGTCTACTCTGACGGTGTATATCCACTGAGCTCAGGCTAGACACCCTGAAAGATAGGATAGAAAATGCCAACGCCGTAAAGTGATATTAGTTGTGTCAATTTTGTAATTTTAATTAAATTAAACTTTATCTATTTATTTTAGTTTTTTTGGTTTATTTATATTTTTTTCGGGGGGGGGGGGGGGGGGA